CTTTTTTTCTGAATATAGGCATGATTTACTATAGTGAGCCAGGTTTAACTGGTAGTCTTTTTTGGAACAACTTCTGGTATATTTACCTGTACATTTATGTTGAGACCAAGTGCAGTTAAAGCCTGAGTTACTATGATGTTGTTGTGAAGGATCTGCTCCAGGCTGCTAGTTGTGGTGTACATCCTCCGGAAATGGCTTCTGATCTGAAGAGGAGCAGGTAAGTGTATGACATGGTTTACCTGTAACTTCCCTTGTGTCGTTTGGATAGTCTGTTCAGCTAACAGTCTCGGTTTTTACAGATATTTTAGAATCTTGGCAACATTTTCTCTTTCACTCTTTCAGGCAACCATCTCCTAGAGGAATCCACAACTAAAATACAGAGCAAGTGCACTCTCTCTCACTCACATTTCCATGCACACACAAAGTGGTGCTTATCTTGATAAGAGACTCCCTTAATCTTGTTCAGACCTAATCACATCAATCACAGTGCCACTTACAGGTATTAACAGCCATCTCTCACACTTGAGAAATCCACCTCTCCCACACACTGTAGAGGGTCTACACAAAATTAGTGACACAATCAGCGTGCACACACACACACACAGACCAGATAAGGGCAGTAGGCAGCGAGCAGCGCAGCCAGCACCAGGCCATCTGTCAGGTCCAAGTCAAAGTTCACTATCCAGCGTGCTGATGGGACTCCACCTGCAAATCAGGACAATGCAGAAACGACCTGTAAGTCAGACATATTTTTTGCCTTAAATCTTAAAGAAGGATATTTAATCTGACGTCTACTTTTAAATGAACAGTTTCACACAGTGGGCCCATGCTAAGTCCTGTCCAATGTGGCTATAATGGGCATGTGAGCATCAGAACTAGACGATAGAACAATGGAAGGAGGTGGCCCAATCTGATAAATCACATTTCCTTTCACATGGACAGTCAGTGCATGGGTTTCATTTGCCTGGCAAAGAGATGGCAGCATGATGCATCATGGGAGGAGACAGGGTGATTTTCTGGGCAATGTTGTTGGAAAACCTTGGGCGCTGCCATTCATGTGGATGTTACTTTGACACATAGCACCAACCTAAATCTTGCTGCAGCCATTCACTGCAGCAGTATTCCCTGATTGTAGTGGCCTCCATCAGCAGAGTAATGTGCAAACATTGTTCAGGAGTGGTTTGAGGAACATGTCAAACGTTCAAGGTGTTGACTTGGAATTCACATTCCTCGGATCTAAATCTGATCTTTGGGATATGCTGGTAATACAGGTCTGATTCATGGTGCTCCGTCTCTTGCAGGATGTAAAGGAACTGCTGCTAACATCCTGGTGTTTAATACTACAGAGCACCTTCAGAGTCTATAAAGTCAGTCTGTGAAGTTATGGCCTCGATAGGTCAGATATGTTCGGCAGCACAAGGTGGACCATCATGTTCTTATGTAGGTGGTTTTAATGTTGTGGTAGCGTTTTAAAATGTGTTACACTATGTTATTTCTTTTTTAAATATATTAAAAGTATGTTATTTCTTTTTAAAAAATGTACCTTTCCACTACCTTTTCTGGGTTTTTTTCTTATTCTATATTGTAAACTGGCTTTTCTCGATAAAGCATCAAGAAATTTTCACAGTGACTTTGACAACACATAGCGTATGAGCAGGGGACAAATAAAGCCTTCGAACCTTGAATTCAAAATACTGTATTATTGTGATGTGTCCTACCTGTACTCCACACAGTCTCCCTCATGCTCTGGTAGTGCATGTTGAGCCAGGAGAGCAACTGTAGTTCCCAGGATGAATAGACATTACTGGCCAGGGGGTGTGAGCTGACAGGGATCGTTCCGTCTACATCGTTGTGGTTCAGAGTTTTGTTCACTGACACGCAACACAACACCAGTACCTGGCCATGTGCAGAGGAATATTCAGTGGTGGAACTGAACAACACCAGCTTGACTTTTTTTCAGCACTATCCTAATACTATTCACCAGGTTCCCAACACAAACATGTTCTCTGACTTCTATTAGGCTAATACAAGTATAATAATTATAATAATGGGCATTTACAAGACTATCAAATAAAGCTTAAATTTAAAAAATTGCTCTTATTATATATTTTTTTCAGAAAACCACTTCTCAGAAATGAGAGGAATACAGAGGAAGGTAGGCAGTAATAGGCTCAAGGGATTAACTCAAGGAAGTTACAGCGAAACTCTATTAACTGCACATGCAATTATTTTAAAGAAAAACTAAAACTCTATTACTACACTGATACAGTAAAAGAACATAACCATAATGCATATAATGTAAAAAGACAAATGGTGAATAAAGACAGGGGAAAATAGCCACACCAGATTTTCACCTTGTATATTTGTAGCAGCACATCAGTCCAGGATCGTTTGCTCAGAGACTCATAATCAACAGCGCTGTAGTCCAGGCTGTTCTCTGCATCGATAGGCTGAGAGGAACGCAGGCAACATGTACTCGTGCTCTATACATGTAACAGTGAGGCCACGCTAAAGCAGTTACTAGAAGTCATCCATCCCAATACTCTAAACTGAATTTAGAAAATGCAATGTGGGTTTCGGAAAAAAATGTTGTGTGTGTCTATACCTGTAGGGAGCACCAGTGTTTAAACTCTGGTGCATCCAGCAAGTACTCCGGTCTGATATGACAAAGGCAGGCTCCCTGCACCCTAAAAACACAATTACAGTGGTAAGAAAAAAGAGTTTTCCACAATGTCATTTTGGCCCTTTTCAGGTACATCATACGGAACATTACTGGTTTCACCTATTTGTGAAAGTGGAATTTTGCCATTCACAGAGGATATGCTGCATGTATGTTACTCGTAAATATATTTAGATATGGCATGACACTGAAGACCCAGAATGTTTGCCCTGAGAAAGATATCCCTTTTAGAATTTGCCATTTATTTTATTCTTGATCAAAGAGTGAATTCTGCTACCTGTCTCAGATGTCAAGTTAGGAATCCTGTTCCATTTCAAAATACTGTACATATGTCAGTGTTGTGTGTCTATATTACTTGCATGAAGAGAAGTTTTAGTAAGAGAGTCTTTTAAAGTCAAGGAAAGTTTAAAGACAGAGTTTTGTAGTGCACTATAGTTATTTTATTTGCATTGTGTGTTGAATTTTCTTCTCTGCATATTTTACTTTGTACTGCTGATGACATTCAGGTCATACTTTTTTCTTGTTAGAAAGGTGATAGAAACGTTGTAGGTGTGGCCAAGTACCATAGCCATAATAATATCTGCCTTAAAGTGAATGAGGCATTTATCCAGATAGAAAAAACATGTAAATTTGCTGCCACATGTACATGACAAGTTGTACAAGTGAGAGAGTAAAACTGTAGCAGTGTCTGTATGTATAAGGGTTACCTCAGAAAAGCAAGCATAACCTCATGCTGTTGCAGCAGCTGACTAGTGCGCTGGTCGATGTCACTGGAGAAGGTCTGGCAGTGAGGAATACCAGGAATCTGTGTGCCAGTCAAGTGATGAAGCATGTCCACTACAGACCTGCACACACCAACATGTAGTTTTCATGGCCAGAAAGTTGAACGCATGTATCTGGAGCCAGATGAATGACCCCACAATATGAACTTAAATCCCTTTAAAGCTTCAGTTACATTATTATCTGCTTTTTGATTGTTGCATTTAAACTTTTTCAAAAAATGACAAATATCACAAACTGAGTAGAAGGCCCTCATTAAAAAACTGACTAAACATCATTTGCTCATCGGAGCCACTGCTAGAAAATTCAGCTCTCAGCATGTCATGGTTTACACATCAGTCTCTTTCAATTAACTAGTTCGTGCTGATTGACCACCATTTTGACACGATGCTGGCCATGTCAGCCAACAACCAAGATTGTACCTCGTGTCTTTATTCTGCCTGACGCTGTAAGTCCGTCCACTGGATTTGTTTGATTGAATTTTTGACACAACTCTGAAAGAAGACAAACAATATAAATACATATTTTTAGAAGTAGAGTACTATTAACATCTACAAATGTGGGTCCTGAGCTAACTTTGTAGGAAATGTTTTGATTCTACCTCCTGAGCGTATGTGGTACAGTGATAGGGTACGTTCCACTTGGCCATCCAAAGAGGCTAAACCACCTCTCCACAGCCAGTAATACGTTCTGGTAATATAGTCCCTTATCTGTGTTGGAAGGTGGGAATGCCGGGACACCGAGATTGGTCGGGGTTTCTCCTTTAGAAGAGACATCTGTGTCGCTGCTGGCCTGTCCGCTCATACTGTCACTGCCTGAAATGGAGTCTGAAAAAGGCAGATACACAGACTGTACATGCCAGCACACATGTATAATGCTGAGGAAATACAGTCATTCAAAAATACATACATCACCCACAACACGGACATTTAATTTTCTGACCTGTAGTCTTATTTGTTGAGCTGTTGTGATCAAATGAAGATGACGATGAAGTCATGCCAGAGACTGGGCTTGGTGTGTGATAGCGCTGAAGGATCGCCTCAACAGCTGTGGCCCCTAAATGACACATATGGTACTCAGATGAGAGGGGGAATATATGAAATACATAACATTTTTGCCAGGAGATGAATTCTGTCAGTGTCCCATGTACCTGCCCTGAGAACTATCTGTTGCTCAGAATGGTGCAGAGCCATGTAGGGCCAGACTGTCAACAGACAGTTGTCACATATGACACACAACTTAGCCTTAAACCTGCAGAAGAAAGGCCGAGTCAAAGAGAAAGACAGGAAAAAGTTAACGTGGTAGATTGGTTCAAGCTCAAATGCATTTTAACATGAGTTAAGCAAAAGCTTTAGCCTGTAAGGTACAATGTTGTGTATTTAAACAGAGAAATGGCACAGAGGCTCTCGACTGAGCTTATATGTTTGCTGATTATAATGAGAGGAAAGCTTCACTGATGGAAACTAAAGTGAAAATCTGAATTTATCCTTGACTAGACCCAAATGAGAACAAGGTTACCTGTTGTGCAGGTGGTCAGTAAAGGTGATGGTTGTGCAAAGAGACAGAGGGACAGCGGAGCAGAACGACACGCTGCAGGGCAGAGCAGCACCGTTGGTTTCCTGTTGGTGGCAGATTGCAGATAGAACAAACAAAGGGCTAATATTTTAGAGATCATGAAGATATTTCAATTGAAATGTCATGAGTAAATCAGTCACATGTGTAATTTTATTCTCTTTTTTGTCCTCTGATCACTAGGAAGATTAAGGGACAGATTTGCCAAAATGTAGGTTTTACTGTCACAACTAAAATTTCACATCAGTCACATCAGCGTCACACTGCACCTGGAATTTATACAGACATGATGGTATGTGAACAATGTGTGAAAACACTCTAAGCAGCAAGAAGAAATAGAGAGTGAGTGTAAAACAGTCATGTACAGTTATAGGCACAATGGACGCCTAACGTATGTCTAGCCTTACTCTGGATCCACTTTACCATCGTCTGGGAAACTACAGAGTGAATGTCACATGTGAAATGCACCTTTAAAGTAAAACATGTCAGCGTAACGCACTAAATGTGTGACAGAAACTCAAAGTTCATTCATACTGAATGTTGATCACATGCCAAAAAAATCCTTCACGCTGGCCAGTCACAGTAAGTAACAGCGTTTTTGGTGCGATGGCCTTGAGTGTCTTTTTCTTTATAGGGTTAACTGTACCTTGTCATGGTCCTGGGCAGGGATGGAGTTACCCTTTGGAAAGGTGACACACACAGGCTGCATCTTTGTCCCATCTTCCAGCTTTATCTCATCCACTTGAGCTGATATCCTTATTCCACTGCAAACATAAAAAGAGGCAGATATGAGAACATGACACAGATCTAACATCTAAAGTTTTAGTATCCAGATTCATCCTACTATTTTAGTATAACTTAGGATGATAAGCAAGAAAACTAGACAGAAACATTTCTAATTTATTGCATTCATTGCAGTGTTTAATGTAACTTGTGAAGAAAGCTTCTTTTGATGGTGCAATAATCCTTTGAGGTAAAATGATAACAAGAAAATCTTTGGTTCAGTTATTCATTAGAGTGTTATTACACCCCGGCATGGTTGGGACCTTGATAATACTGGACAGGTGGTGTTAATGTTGTGGCTGATTGGCGTATGCTTTTGTGAGAAGAATTACGATCTTAAAACATGCATTGCACTTCTCAGTTCAGTCATGGGAATACGGGACACAAAATGCTGCCAGAACTGTAAAAACACATCCAGATTTGTGTCCACTCTGAAATCTGAACAACAGCGTTAAACCACCGAGGAGCGTGGATTAGCATGTTGGCTTACAATGTGAAATCCAAAATCCAACACGACCGCAGACGTGCCAGTTAATGAATCCTGGCTTGATTGATAAAAACCCCGCTGAAATAAATAATGCAGTCAGTCATTAGTGTGGCAGTTTATGAGTGTGGCTTTGTTTCCTTTCTACCCATTCAGCTCCAATGGCACAACACAGATGGTAAATTGCCACAAGTTAGAAAAATGCAAACTCAATAAAAATCTATCATTGCTATTGCTTAGTCTAGCCTAAATGTCCGTATGTCATGATCCATGAAACTTTAAATGACCTGGAGCACGCACATGTTTGTGTGTGTGTGTGTGCGTGTGTGTGTGTGTGTGTGTGTGTGTGTGAGCCAACCTTGAATAACCGACAGCCAGCAAGGTGAGAGTGGTTTCCGTGTTGCTTTCCAGAGGTACTGGGGTGAGAAGAATTTCGGGAGGGTGAATGGTGATACTGGGAAGCTGGAAGGTAACAGTGATTGACAGCTTCCTGTAGGGCTGGTGTCCATCCTCTCCTCCTATCCCCTCCTCTCCTTTGTCTCCAAGGTAAAGAGGGAGGGACAGTTTCATCACTTTTTCAGACCCTAGGAGAAAAAGAATGTCGACATTTCTTCATGCATAAGCCAGTCAGTGAGGACAAAGGCGACTTTACATTTGCCCATCAAGGGCTTACTTGCAGGTTACTATTCGTAGCCTAAGCACAAAACCTCTGTGAATGCCATACACCTTTCCATATGCCATACACCACAGCTATGGCAGTGGCTGAAGAAACTTGGGTTGTTGTTCAGTGTCAGTGGGGATGTCAATAGTGGAGGCAAAAAAAAGGGCGATAAAGAAAGATTTGTTTTCTATTTTTTAGTGACACACATCTGAAAAAAGCATCTCTGATTCAGTAACGAGACTAAATGGTGGTAATGAGGCTAAATAGTGGTTTCATGGGTGTAACTTCCATTCTGTGAACACAAGCATAGCCTCCTCTCACCATTGATGTGACAGTAGACAGCAATGTGAATGAAAAAGTCAAATTCACATTAATT